CAGCCTGCAGGCCAAGACGAAGGCGCTGGACTGTTCCTTTTTTTTGTTTAGTTTTGCCTCCAATATTTGCCCAGCTGTGTAAGACCAAACTTAACATAATTATTTTCGCGCTTTTTTGCAGTACAAAGATTGTTCACAGAAAAGTTTTATTTTTCTGACTTTCTATTTGGATTAGTGGTTTATTTGAAATTATTATGTATGTGTTAAATAAAAAAATAAATATATTTGTGGCCTGTGCTTATAGGTTTTTTTGCTTAGTCTTAGTACAAAATGCCCTTCTTGATAATGTGTTTGAGCTTAGGTAACCCAATCTTCTGTGAAATAAAAGCTGGGTGGATTCGAAGGGATTCGCCCCAATATTTTGTTTGTTTTTTAAGATGATCTATTGTATATGTCAAGTTGAAGAATTAAGTGTAGGTTTTTGCAATTTTTTTATTTTTCGCGTTTTTAGGTACAATGTTTGAGTCAAAACGCACCCTTTTTTTAGTTTGCCACAGTAAACCAGTACCAACAAAAAAGTTTTTGCTTGTCGAAAATCATGTACATATTTTCTAATATTATTGATCTCCCAAAACATAAAATTTGTTATTTTTTCGAAGTTATTAACAAGGCGCCGCCAGACCATCAATTGGATCAGAGTCGCTGTTCAGAAAAAACGGCTACGGCTATGTTAAGTTCATCCAAAACCGTAGCAGTTAAAGAGCTGACTAGCGCCTTAAGTTCAGCAGACACATAATACAATTGTACTTCTCCAACCATTATCCTCAAGGTAGTCTATTCAATGGTGTTGATAAATACATACCCTGCAGTACGGGGGAGCGGCTACGGGACTTATGAACCGGTAGCTACCTGGTAAACTCCGTCGATTACCGACCGACTACTTACAGTGTATTTCAGCGTTTACTTTTACAAGGCAATGTCCTAGGCGGTAGTCACCATCGGTTCTCTCTGCATTACCGGGAGTTACTAAAGTAATCACTTGCGTGAATTTTGGGCGCCCTCTGTCGTAGTTTTTCGCTAGCTTTTTTCTAGCCTATAAAATACAAGCCTAACCTCAATATCAGGAATCAGCCAGCGCTCAGCTTCATACTGGATCTAGAAAAAGAGAAGGGTTTGTACATGTTTAGTTTAATTCAAGGACCGTAAATAACAGTTACTTTTTTTCAACTGCTAAACTTGGCCAAATATTTTTAAGTCGAAAATAAATGTCCTTTCCTAATAATAAACAAACCGATTATCCAAATTAAAAAAAGTTTGGCATCAACTGAAAGAGAACTAAAATAGCTTTAGAACTGAAATATTTAAACGAGGAAAGCCAGCAGAAAGCCAGAAATTGTAAAATATTTAAATAAAAAATGTTTTTTTAATTGCCATAGAGCGAACCTTGGGTAAGGTATATGCATTCTTCTGTATCAAATTATAAAAAAAAAATATAAATAGAAGTGGTAGCCTTTGATCGCTATTTCAGTTTAAATGCTATTAAAGTTCTCTTTTAGTTGGTACCAAATTTGTTTAATTTGGATAAGCGGTTTGTTTACTATCCGGAAGGACTTTTATTTCGAACTTAAAAAATATCAAGCCAAGTTTAACTGTTGAAAAAAATATCTGATATTTACGGTGCCTGGTTTAATTCCTTTAATAAATAATGATATAAATTTTACGTAAGGAGCTACTTATATCCAAAACAAAAATATAACTAATTCCGTGGTATTTAGTACAATAATTAGTTTTGGAAAGTATCGAGTACTTTTGAGGATCGAGTCCTTTGGTATCGATACTTTTAAGAATCAGGTATTTTTCAGAGTACTGAGTACTTTTTTTAAATGTACACATGTAGGTAACATTTCAGTTATTAGTGCAGAAATCTCACAATCTGGCAGCACTTTATTTGAATTAATATAATAGTACCAAATTACACCAGATGAATGGCTAACTTTACTGGGTACAAGTATTGTACTTGAGACTTCAATCATTACTGAATACCGGTAAATATAAATAAAACTCAGTACTTTTAAGTTTCTATACGACACTGAGTACTTTACTTCGATCCTGGTTACATGCATCAAAGTGATGATTAGGAAATAGTATTTTTGAGTACTGAGTACTTTCGAGTTCTTTTGTGAGTACTGAGTACTTTTGAGTTCTATTCAGTTCTGAGCCCTTTCGAGATCTTTTCTGAGTATTGAGTCCTTTGGAGTACCCAGTATCGATACTTTTTAAATATCGGGTGCTATCGATCCTTTTCAGAATCGAGTTCTGAGTACTTTTGCTGAGTATCTACTTCGAATCAGCAAAATAACTTGATTTTTTTCAAAGAATTTTTTAAAAATGAGTTTTGCTGTTTTCCCTTCTTGGCATAGATTTTTAGAGATTTTACGTTGATATTGGTAACACTTCGAGCGCCTACCCCTATATGTAAGTCATAACCTTTAATTTCGCTCGGACAAATCTTTTAACCTTTTTTTCCATTTTTTTCAAAACTACTTAGGCCGGTACATTAAAACCTTAATAGGCCATAAAATAAATAAATAATATAAAAAAAACTTTTTAATATACAACGCTTTTATAAATGGACTAAAAAGTAGAAAATAATACTTCTCAGTCCCATAGAATTTGTTTTGATAACTTTTGATTTTGAAATTTTAGCAAAAGTCATTATAAACAAT